AGGCAAGAGGTCCAGGCCACCTTCTTCAGAAGCAACCCAGACAGAAAATAGCCCGTGGAAAACAGGTATCAGTGCCAATAGCAGGGTAAAAGCTGCCAATGTCAACGCTCCATTTGTAAGCAGCCAGGACTGTGAAAAACAATCTCCACACAGCTGAATCAAAAAGCAGCTTGTTCAAGGGATGCAGACTATTGTAAAACAACAGATAAGAAATGATCTTTGTCTGTACCTAGCTCTGAAACATGCTCAAAGTTCCATCTCCCACTCACCAAACAAGCATGACAGACCAGCCCTGCATGCAATCCAGCCCAAGAGAAAATCCAGCTCCTTCCCAAACCAGAATGTGCCTGATCTTCTCTCTGCCATGGCTTGCACATACAAGGCAGTCCTTCCAAAGCCAAGCCAACCCAGACACCACTTCTTTAACTTCCATCCCAGTTGCCCAGTGTCCTTAGAAACACAGAATGTGTCTTTCCATCTGGAACATCAATCACTCTTTATTTATGATCAGTATTACCTTTATCAGCACCATGTTCCCCACTCTCCTCCACTGAAAAAAATGAGCTGAGCACTCCTGAAAATCAGGCTTCTCCTCTACTGAGGTGCCTGAAGAAGTATTTAGGTAACTTATTTGGGAAACTGTACCCATTTCTCCATCCCTCTCACTCTGGCTCTATTACCTACATTGTAGATGATTTTATACAAGTTAGATCAGCTATTAGTAAAGTTTCTTTTCCAAGAAAGTTTGGAGAATGTCTATGTAATCATTGGGAATTCTCACACACACACACAAAAAAAAGACAGCTTTTATAAGGACCAAATCTTACCTATTATTTTTATATCTCTAGTAGCAATTTATGTAACTATTCATTAATTCTTCCACAAATCAAATACATAAACATTTTTATAAGAAAACAAACATCTCCTGTCTACCCAAAAAGGACATGATAAACAATAGTAATATAAATACTTGAAAACTATGAATAATATCATGCCAGTTTCCATTAAGATACAAAAACATTTTTGAAAGACTAAGGTTAAATACAGGAAATGTTTGCATTTCAAAGGAAATGGGAGCAAAGAAGATGATCCAAAAAAAAAATCTTTCAACTCTGTAATATAAATTGGATTACAGGAATATGAAACAGCAGCTTCAGTAAAGAGCTGTGACTCAAATTTTTGACACAGGAAAAACATGAAGATGCTGAATTAAAGCAGATAAGGGGTCTGATTCACAGCTGCATGAATTGACATGACCCCAATCAAATCAGTGGAGTTTTTCTGATTCAAACCTCATTAGTATTGGGCTGAAGTTGCCTCAACAGTGAAGAGACCTAGAGCCACAACTGGAAAGGTGAAGCACATTTCAGAAAAAGTCCAGTGTATTCTGTATGTGCTTCTTTCTTAGTCAGCCTTACATATTAACACAGAGGGGTACTGCTTTTCTGCTGCTGCAGCTGCACTGCACTGAATCTCACCCAGAGCTGATTGGGTTCATTTTATTTTTACCTGTCATTTTATATCTATATACCTACTTAACTGTCCAAAGGTAATCTTCAAAATTGTATGGGAAAGATTTTTCAAAACTCATGCTGAAACCATCTTCTAAGTAATTCATACACATTTTTAAACACTTCTAAACATTTTGAACATTTCTAAAAATGTCTTAGCTAAGTTAAATAAGCTAACACAGATGAAACCTCAGGCTGCTGAGACTAGACCACCTCAAGGTACTCTTAACTGCTTCATGTGCTGCTCACTGACATATCACTGTGTGGCTTCCTCAACACAGGCATCACCTTAGATTTCCACACCCCACATCACTTTGAAAATAAACTGCATACTTCTGAACTTCATGTGGTGAGGAACCACATTTTGCTCTTGCAAACATTTCTCTCCTCTTGTGCTCTGACTTACAGCTACAGCACTTTTTCTAACTTCCTCGAAAGAAAATATTTTCAAACATGCCCAGAAGATCAACAGTAAAACCAGAAAATCTTTCATGAGGTAGTTCAAGCCCTTTCTCAAACTCGCCATTGTTCACTGTAAGGCAGCACATCTCACCACTGCCACATTTGCAAGAAGAGCGCAGTTGTCCATGTATTAGCAAGAAAGGAGAATTTAGTGTGGAAAATGAGAGGGACCAGCATACGGAGAACAATTTTGAGAGTTTTAAGTTTTTAGGGGAAATATAAGGAACAGAAGCAGAAAGCAGAGAGAAGTTAGGCCATTTATTTTTCTTTCTTCCCTATGCATCTCATTGCAATGTTCTGTCCTGTGCTCATATGGATGTCAGTATTAAGGAATGCATGAAATGTGCATTAGTTGCTCTCTAGACTAGGGACTGCATTATTGCTTGTACATTAACTTCTCTACCCAGCAGAATACTGGAAATATGCCTCTCATACCCCTTTGAGAGGTACAGCACTATGTGAAAGTATTTTAGAGCACTCTGAATGCATGAAGCAGTGTTAGGTTTTTATTCTTTGCCCTGACATTGGTAATTAATATTGCATAATTTTTGATGGGATGGCAAGAGCAGGCTGATAGCACAGGATATAACACAGAAAAAACTGGGACACTTTTTATAGTCCTGCAGAGGCCAGTAAAGCAAAACAACAAGTGCAACCAGTGGAGCTATCATCTCATTCATCTATTTGCACTAAACCAACCATGAAAGGTGTTACTCAAAGGAAGAGTTTCTTGCAAGTTTGGGGGAAGAAGGAGGTTCTGGACAAATAGTGGATTGAGTATACCAGTGCTTATTATTCTCAGTTTAGTTAGACTCAGGATATCAGAAAACCAGAGGGGAGGAGAAGCAGCCAGCAGCACACAGTAGTTCAGTCCCTCCACAAGAGGTGCAAAAAAACTGCATAGCAGCAGCTCTTGTACCAAAAGCCACCAAAGCCTCACTGCTACTATCCAAGGAGCCAGAGTACCATCCATACAGCTGTCAGCTGAGACAGAGAAGCCAGCCTGCCCCAGCCCACAAACTCCAGCTGCAGCTCAGGCCCAAAAAATGAGAGAGTTACCATACCTGATTTTTCCATCGAGGATGGATGATGGAAAAATTAGACAAGCCACAAAAAAATTCAGTAACACTTAAAAGGGTTTACAGTTAACAAGGGAAGGTGAGGGCAGCAGACAGGGAACTTGAATACAGTATTTTGCTAGACTTTAAAAAAAGTCAGTGTCAGATCTGTGGGAATAAGGGAAATAGAAACTGTACAGGGATTTACTAAGCAGTTCTTTGAAACTGCTTTTGACAAAATGAATGACAGTTTTGAAAAGCCCATTTTTTAAGATCTTAATGCTACATCAAACATGTCTTGTTGGATCACATCACAACTGAGGCAAGCTAAAAGGATGTGTCGGGGAGAGAGATATGTCAGCCCAGAACTAGTGTACATTCATACACACATGCAGCCTCTAATCCTGCACTGTTTGCTTTCCCATGTGAATAACTGATTCACACAAGCCACTCTGTAAAAAACTTTGCAGAGCTCACCTATCTTAACATATCTAGGTCATTTCAGCGAGCTAATTACTAATATTATTTTAAGAATTATATTTTTGCTCATTTTCCTACCACAAATATTTTCACATTATGCCAGACACAAGCACATAAATAGTAAAGAGCTTAAGCAGTTATAAGGCATCTGAGTTCCAGCATATTTCCAGGCTAAAGAAATCATGAGAGACAAGGTGCAGTCACTGTTCCAAATGCTCTGTTCAGCCTTTAGCTGGAAAAAATGAAGTGAGACCAAAATAGTGTTATTTCTCTTCTCATCACCTAGCAACACTCCTCTTGCAATAGGAACTTAGCCAGTTATGAGGAAAAGAAAATTAGAGGGCAGAATGACACACTCTGTCCCAGACAGTCCAAAACATACTGTAAGGTGACAGACACTGAGCAGCACAATGCACAATTATCTTAATAGCAGTTTTCTGAGGTTTGCAGTCTGTCATCTCTGCAGCCACACTGTGCAGAGTTCCCCCATCCCAACTGCCTTAATGCCTTATGACAGCTCTATAGCAATAGATCTTGTTCCTAAAAATAAAATGGGCATAATGTATCTTCCATGCTCTGCAAGTATGAATAATATTCAGAAGCCTCCAAACTGCTGTTCCTAGAGATTCATTCCCATTGTTGTACAGGCTGCCAAAGGGAAGGTTTACAAAGCAGGAAGACACTGGAAATCACGAGGTTGTCTTCCTGCTGTCAGATTTTAGAAAATCTTTCCAGCATTACTTTTCTTTTTAAGAAATGCAGACTGATCTAAAACTATCAAATAAGTTTTGGTATAAACTTATTTCAAAGCAAGAAATGAACAGCAAAAACATAGCTAGCTACTTTTACAATGATTCACTAAAATGTAACACAGTCCTTTTGGATTTGTGACTGTACAAAAATAGGACTTATGCTGAAGACATATTTAAGAAGGTAGCAATTTTAAAGTAGACTTCTAGCTCACATTACATGTCTGAATTCTACCTTTAATTTCACTAAAGGTTAAAAATCAACTTTTTAATTGGAACTCTATACTAATCATTTGACAGGCATATTGAGATATTTACTATGTGTGTTTCGTTGGATAATATATAGATGTGTGTACTGAACCTCAAAATGTACAGCTGAATTCACTGAAATGTAGCTTGTTTGGGTTTTACTTTAACAGAAGAAAGGGAAGCACTTTTTAAAAATTTTCAGTTCCCAAGGGGATTAGTGCCATGAAAAAAGATTCAAGCTTCTGCAGGCAGGTTCCCCATCTCTCCGAGTATATTATCTGACCCCATTCCTACCACCTGAGAGATGAACTTTTGTGAGAAGTTCCAACAGCATTTTATTAAAGTCTATTCTAAAAGATGAGAAGTTTATTTTTAAGGATAAGAAATACCCATTGAAACACAGAGATTCTGGAATCTCACCAGTTTCACTTCAGGCACTGTACAATGTCATGCAATCTACTGATTGCTCCTTCTCTTTTTTCTTGTTCCAGACTCATGTTAGGAAACTCTTACTGCCCTCAGCAACTCTATCATATTTGAAGCAAACTTTGGGGTATTCATCCTCTGGACAGAATGACTGCACTGCAGAAGTTACACATAGACACTGGCTTTATTTCCCTGTAACAATGGGGTTAATGCTCAGGCTCACAGGAGTTAAAGGGGGTGGCTGCTGCTGCCCCATGGCTAATGCCAAGCAGGAAGGAAACCTCTGCACCCCACCTGCGGACGCTGAAAACCACACGAATGTGTTACCTTGGAAGAACTCTGATCTCCTGCTTACAGAAGGTAAGCTCCTGTTTAGCCCCAAGATCCTGTCCAAATGAAAGGCAAACACCTCACTCATGTCCAGAGGTCTTTTGACAATTCCACAGTGTCCTTGATTACAAGCAGTTCCCGTAGTGCTGGGACCTCTTGCAAATACTGCCAGGACTGCTTTTTGTGAAGGAACTTCTTGAATGCTCTCTATGGGAGAGTCTGCCAGCATGCGCATGTTTAGGATGTCATCTTTGCTCATCCATGAGGGAGGGCTCTCACTATAAATCCTGATATTGCTTTCCTCAGGCTGGAGCTGTGCCTTTACAGCTCCAGAAATCTTCCCAGGTCTCTGGTGACCTCTCTCCATGATAACCATTCCTTTATGCCTGTGTTCATCCAGCTGGTACTTTCTTGCCTCCAGAGCAATCGCTGCTCCCCTGGTGCCGGCGGCACGTGTGGCCCGCCCCAGCTGTTGGGCAAAGGCCTCTTCCCAGCCCACAAGAGTGGCTTTTGGAAAGTGCTGCCCGTAGGACACAGGGATTGCATTTTTCTTCCGGCGCTTTGGCTTCACTGTGCCTCTGATGTTGGCAGGCTTGCTGCGCTTGGACCGCAGGGTGATATAAACTACATTGGGTGGCAGCAAGGTCCCATTGCTACCAAGCTGGGGTTCCTGGAAATTGGGTGGTGACAGGGTGCCATCCAGTGGGATGCCCAGAAAAGGAGTTTGAGCTGCATCTTGGAGACTCCTGGAGCTGATCTTTCTATGTCCTCCTTTGTGCTGCGGTAAAACGTGACCTACTTGGCTGACAAGGAACCCCAGGTAGATCACACAGGCAGTGCCCACGAGCAGATTCCTCCTTGTCCGTGGGCGCCTGCAAGTCCAGAGCCTCAGCAGCCGTGAGGGCCACAGGCAGCAAATAAACAAGTTTTTGATTTTACTTGGCTGATCAAAAGGAGTCATTTCTCTAGTGAATCCACATGATGAAAACAGCATAAAGTCTTCTGTACATTCCCGCCAGGATGATGATGCATTATTTCTCTTCCCCAATTTCTATTTCTCCTTTTCCAAATAGCTTCCAGCATGGGTGATGGACAGAGGCTACTGATATGCCTGGGAAAGTGGTCAGCACTAAGGATGCTGACACTCCACCTTCTCAAATTGTTAAATTCTTATCAGCCACCACAGAGGAAGTGATTGGCTTCAGAGAATGAATGGAGCCAGCTGCGTAAGCAAAGTTTACTGACTTGTAGTCTAAAAGATCTATGTATCTTCTCTGCAAACTGCAAAAAGAAAATAGTAGCATTTCCTTTCATTACTCAACATAGTATCTGTGGCTCTATATTTTTCAGAGAAAAGAAGTTCTAGATGAGAGAGTATGCATGTAAGAATTTGTCAGGATAAATCTTTTACTTTCTCATTACAGTATAAATCAAACATCAAAACCATTAAATACAGGCTCAATTTTCAATCTCAGCCAGATGTATTCCAGCATTAGAAGAAATTCCTGTCAAATCCAGATCATTATCTTTTTCTTACAAGACAAAGTCTTCACTAAACTTCATGTTATGGAAATGCTGTAAACAATCCAAATATGAACCAGTGACTAGTAGTTAAATATGCACATATTCACTAATATAAAAATATATTAGCAGTGCCAAATTTCCCTAGTTGACTATGAATATAGTTCCCATAATTCATAAACACACATTAAAATTGAAAGATGGTTAATTCTCTTCATTCTTATGAAGCCATAAAAAGAATCTAGCTAACATTTTTAAAATAAAATGACAGTGGCTTATATATCTTTTCCAAGAAACAAAGAATAGGTGCACATTACATACAGACTGCTATAAAAATAAAATTTCTTACCTATTCAGCTTGACACATCCTTTGTTGTGGTAAACTCCTTAGGTTAATAAAAGTAAGTGAGTAAAAGCTGGCATCTAGAACATATTTCACTTTTAAGTATGGTTCACATTTAGGTATTTCATTGCAAGCTAAGAACTGTTGAGAAGCTAACTTTACTGAGAAGTGCTTGCATATGAACTGCTGTAAACTTACATGAACCTCACGTTATTAAAAAAAAAAAAAAAAACCAAACAACCCCACACACAAAACCACAGCAACTTCTATTTTAAATTCTGTAATGAAAAGTCCTGTGAAGTATGTGCCTTTCAAAAGTGCATTCCATCTATTTCTAACTCCTGAGAGCCCTCTAGTGCACTGCATGCAAATGTACTAAACCAACTCCCTTTACTGCATTTAGTTTTTTGGGGGTTTTTGAGTGTGAAATACCACCCACTCCCTGGATTTTAAAACTTTTGAGGATCATATATTGTTGTGGTGAGAAGTGAAAAAACAGATAGACACTTTTAAAATGCTATTAATCTGCCACTAAACAGCTCAGGAGTGTCTCCTATTTGCGCTTTCTGGAGCAAGGCATAGCAGAGTCCCTGTACAGCTGGAAAAGTTGGGGCAGACATAAGCTAAGGGCAAACCTCTGACATCTGACTCCTTTCCTAGTCTAAATATAAAATAATAAAGTGTATATGTTCACTGTAATTCAAAGAATGGAGATATTCTCCATAGCTACTACTAAAGAACAGTTAAGAAATTAGTTTATGTTTCACATTGGTCCAATATTAATTTATAAAAGTTTTGAGTGTATTTTTTTCGACAAGCCATCATTTATCCTTACATTTTGTCTAAATATGTACTGTCAAGTTAAAAATGCAGTATCCATGCCCATTAACAGTAAAAGAGCCTCCCTGTTACCTATTTTTTCCAAATCTGAGTTTTTGGAAGAATTGGGATTGTAAGAAATCTCTTCATCCACTTCAGTTCTTCTTTCTTGTTTTAGTTCAAATTTGACTGATGGGACATATCCCAAACAAAGAGAATTTATTCCAAAATCTCCAGACAAGTTGCTTGAGTTGGAAATGCATCACACTGCAACAATTCTTTTCAAATACCCAGTTCCTGCAAGCACACAGCACCTGTCTGTTAGAACCAAGCAGCACCAAAGCACTCTACATTCCAGTCACTAACAGCGCTCCTCTGCTGTAAAAACTCTCTGAAATTCTCTGTAATCTAAGTAATCTTTCTACTGCTACTCTTTAAATACTATCTGGAGGAAATTATAAAATTATATGGAGAATCATTCTTCACTTCTCACTTCATTTGTAACCTTGAAATCGTAATGTGGTGTACATACTGATGTACAGTGTTGACTGTTGGGGTTTTTTCTGAGGCTTTCTAAATGTGATAATAGCAATTGTATTTCCTTTTTTTCTTATTTATCATTATTCTTTTTTCTTCAGTTCAGAAGAGAGAACTCAGGTGCTGGTATGTTCTTTGGAATGGATGGTGGTAGAAAATCAACTAGACAGAATACAGTATCTTGTTAGTTTAATAGATGTTTGCCTCTAATTTTAGATTCTTAAACTGCAAAATATCAAGTGATTTTTTTTTTTCCAGCTCCTGTGATCTACATCTCCAGTGCCCTAGCAGATACCATAAAATAAGGAAGGCTGAAATGACTATGGAGTTGTCTGGAAATAAAACATTTCATCGTGTTTCACAAGAAACAAAAAAAAAAGGTTTTTTTTCAAGTGGGTACTGTACTTCTCTCTGGAATCACTCTAACCCAAAGCTACAGCAAAGCACTAAGGGGTACTGCCAAGCTGAAACAGTACTTCCTCTGTGGTGATCAAATATTTAAGACAAGCTTTCAGAACAGCAGCTATTGTCTGACCAAATTCTGGCCTCCATTATTTCACTTTGCTACATACAGCTAGCCTGTAGTATGTGTCAGATTTTGTATTTGTTCCTTCCTCTAAACTATAACTGTGATATTGTCATTTGCATCCACTAAATTCAGCTTTTCATGTAATTTGTTCATATACTCATATTTCATGGTTAGTGTCGTATTTCCTAAGGTAAGGAATAAAAGCATATAAAAATTAATATAGGAAAATAGCAAACAATGGAAGAGGGGAATTAAAGAAGTATTTTCTAGTCCTTCACGGATCTAGGTATACTTTTTTCATGCGAATGAATAGCTGGATTAACTGTTTGCAATTATTTTCTTCAGGGTTTTTTCCCTCTTTGTTTTGTTTTGTTTTTTGTTTAACTTTGAAATTCACCTCCACCTGTATTTGATGAGGTTTTCTGCTGCTGCTGGACAAGCTGCAGAATCTGAAGCAGCTGTTGGCCTGCACTGCTCCAAGCAGGAGGCCTCTGGCCAATTTGCAGAGACAGGTGGAGTGTGCCAATGCCCAGCAGCCACAAGGTCCTGCATGTTAACTTTATCCCTGGGCACCTGAAAGGATATGGCTACAGACTAGGATCCTTGATGTGCGTGCTCTTGCCTTCTATGTGCAGGCACTTCCATGGAATAGGTTAATTAATATTTTTCCCATCTATGTGCAGGCACTTCAGTGGAATAGGTTAACATTTTTCCCATCACTTCTTTTCAGAATAAAATAACACAACACATATACTTGCACTGCCTTTAGAATTCTTTTTTCTGTGTGCTACCTTTGTGATTATGATATTATTTCTCTTAGATGCACCATAGCCGTATTGTTTCCATAGAGATGTTCTGCTATTCATCTCTAAATGACACATGGACAGACATTTATGTTAAAATGATTGATGAATGGTGCATTCCTGTCTTTACTGAATCCATATGACTGACAACTTATTCTCCAGAGAAACAAAGTAAGCCCTTATTATGGATAATGCAGATTTGATTTGCAGAATATGAATCATTACTTTAGAAGGCTCCTGCTGTGTTTGTAAGGAGATCAATTTGGGCTGCCATCTGGAAACTGTACTTTAAGAGTGCAGAGAGAAATGTTTGCTTCGTGACTAAACATGCTGACTAATAGTCTGTGCTTTAACTGGTCTGGATCAAATCCTTACAGGGAAATCTGCAAAGACCTCTTCTTGACATCATGTAAAAGATTTTTTTCTTACTTGATTTTGCTTGCCAAACAACACAGGGGCTCCCAGACCAACAGCTGGTAATTTTTTGTGCTTAAGAAAAATAAAAAACCTGGATGCCCTGACCAGGCTTGGTGGTTTCCTTGCCTTGCTGCACACCACAGTGTAGGGGGACTCAATATAAGAAAATAAAGGTAGTATAGAAAGTAATCTTACCCCTTGAAGACTGCAGCTGAGTTAATTAGTAAGATCAGGAGCAGGCCTGACGTTAACAGGCCACAGCTGTAGCCAATAAGAGGAGTGCTATTAAAGAGTGGGTTGGTTGATTGAGGGGAGCTGGAGTCAGTGGGTTGCTGTGAGGACAAGGAAGAGGCAGTGCCCAGAGGCGCTCCCTACAGGAAACATCAAGGAGGTACAAAACTCTAGCAATGTGGAACCATTGCAATGTAATGACAATAGAACTCTTGCACTATAGTGACAACACCACAAGGCCAGCAGCTGTTGCATAGCCTTGAAATGTCCCTGCCTTCCCTGAGATGCCTGTTCCCTCTGCAGGTGCCTGTGGCCCCCAGCCCCACGACAGCCTCCAGCAGCCAGGGAGACCTCAGGAGCGAGAGGAGCTGCGAGGAGGCCATGCTGTCCCCTCAGGAGCAAGAGGAGCTATGAGGAGGCCCTATCCCGGAACCACATCTGTGTTCCCGGGCAAATGCTGCCAAAACTCAGGTGCCTTTTCTGGAAGACAAGTCCTGTGAGGAGCAGTTGAGGGAACAGGGGGTGTTTAGCCTGGAGGAGGCTCAGGAGAGACCTTACTGCTCTCTACAACCACCTGAACGGATGCTGTAGCCAGTAACAGGATGAGTGGGCATAGCCTCAGGCTCAGCTTGGAGAGGTTTAGGCTGGACATTGGGAAGAATTTATTCACAAAAAACATTGCAATATAGTGCCTAGGGAGGTGTTGAAGACTGACGTGACACACAGAGCATGTGATTAAACACTGGAATGAACACAGGGAGTTGGTGGAGTCACTGTTCCAGACAGGATGTGGCACTTAGTGCACTCCAGGGTCTAGCTGGCATGGTGGTCCTGGGTCACAGGTTGGAGTCGATGATCTCCAGAGGCCTTTCCCAACCTCATTGATTCAGTGAATCTTCAGTTACAGTCACAGCACCACCGGCCTGTGGAGTCTACAGCTGCACTTCCACTCGGAAGGGAACTGTCTCATCCGCGCGCTTACTGCAGGGAGGACCAAAGGCGCTTTTATCACGACATGGGTGCATTAATTTAAATTTTCTCTTAGCGATTCTTCCTCGCCAGACGGGAAGCCGCCATGGCAGCGAGACAAAGGCAGTCGAAATTACCCACCCCCCACTCGCCTCCGCCCCGCTCCCGGACGGGGAAGAGCCCAGTGGGCAGAAGCGGATGGAGGCGGGCGGGGCCGAGGCGCGGGGCGGTGCCGGCGCGGGCAGGCGGCCGCGGTGAGCGGCGCTGGGGCTGTGCGGGTCCCGGTGGGCGCGGAGCGGGCGGGCCGCGGAGCCGAGGCCGCACGGAGGGGACGGGACCGGGGATCTGTCGGTATGGGCCCGTCCCGGCCGCCTTCCGCCCCGGAGCGGAGCGCCCTAAAACCCGCCGCGGAGCTGAGCACAGGGCGCTGGGGGGAGGAAGGAAGGCGCCGGCTGGAGCGGGGTCTCGGGTGTCCCCTCGGGGTGCGGGGCCGAGAGCTGTGCCGGGCCTCGCCTGCAGCCCGGGCCTACCCCGCCGCAAACACGGCCCGGTGGCGTCAGTGAAGCGACAGCGGCCCGGGTGGAGCTCTCAGCTGAGCGTTTTCCTTGTTCCGTGATAGCACTTAGTCCAAACAGTGCCCGAAGAACGTCTTTTGAAAGAGTTCACCCCAGGGAAGCAAAGATACGTTGCTAGAGCGAGGGTTATGGTGTTGCTTTGGCACGTTGATCTGAGCCACATTGGAACCCATAGGAGTGTCCTAAGTTGAGGGTGAAAGTATCCACCCTTAGTAATCAATGGATAATATGAGAAATGTGCAAATAAATAGTCAGTACAACATGCAATGTTTAAAAAACCACTTAATTGGTAAAGAGGTTCTTCGGAATCTTACCAACAATTTGGTTCACCATTGAGGTAAAGGCTCTTAAAGACAGGGCCTCTTGATTTTGTCCCTCTCTGCAGAGATTGTAGCAATGTGTTGCTGTTGCAGTAAGTGAGCATCATGGTTTGTTGTGTAATATTTCTGAGGGAATTGTGGAAATGCAAAGCACAACACTCCAGTGGGGTGAACCAGTGAACTTAGGAAAAGGGCAATGTGTGCCAACAGAATTTAAACATCCAACAGCAAAATTGTATTTTTTCTGCTGCTGGGGATCCTGAAGTGCCTGTCAGGAAGGGCAACTTAGTGGGAAAAAAAGCCTTCAATAACAGTATCAATTGCAGTTACCTTTGCTACCACTATGCTTTAAGAGCTTAGCAGATTCAGCTTTTGGCATTTGTTGCCTCTTGAGTCTTTGGAGGGACATATGCAAGTCCATCTGGCGATAACATAGGATTGAAGAGAAGAGGCTTCTGGTGAACTCTCAGAAGCTCTCTGAGATGTGGAAAGTATGTAGAAAAAATACAGCTTAAAGCTGTGTGACAATTTGTTATTTGCTCTTGACATTTGATCATACAATATTAGAATTATTTAGCTTGGAAGGGATCTCTGTAGGTCATTGATTCAATTCACACCTTAAAGCAGTTCTGTCATCAAAGTCAGAGCAGGTTGCTTCAGGCCTTGTTTGATTAAGCTTTCTCTTGAAGGATTTGAAATGGAGTTGAAAGTTGGGTGTGAAATTTAGCCAGATTTGGAACAAAGTGTCCCAAGTTTTGGAAAGTTATGTACACAAACTTCGCATTTTTATGGTTGTCCTCAGAGACATCTTTTCTGTCAAAGTGATACTCCATATCAAAAGTGCATGTGTGGCTCATCTGATGAGTGTAACCTCAAGATGACTCTCTTTAAAAAAAGTCAGATATTCTGGGATTAAAACAATCTTTGCCTTTCTTACTATACTTACAGGGAATGAACGAGGAAATTTTTGAGGCAGCTTCTCCCTTTGCTCCCCGCAGAAAAATGAACCTTTACTCATATTTAGTATCAGTTAGAGCAATCCCTGTGGTTCCCTTATGATTCCATACTGATCTCACTGTGGCATCTATAGAATCTCTGCACCTGTTCCTGACTTCTTGACAATGGGTCTGCTGTAAATGCTTCTGCCAGTTGAGATTTTGTCCAACCCCATTTTTGATGCACCCCATTGTGACCTCCCCCTTTGACTATGTGAATAAGGAATATTCTGATATCATCTCACTAAAGCATCAGTGCTTCCCATAGCCCTCACAGATTCATAACCTTTGAGTGTACCTCTACATTCTTATGTCTTCAGATAAAACATACAGTACTGGGGGTTTCTTTGCTTAACTGTTATTGAGTCACTTTATTAATGCTTTATGTCTGGTTTTTATGGGGTTCTACATGAACCTTTCCTGCATTAACCTCTTTGCAGCTCATAGCAACTTTGAGAGACTGATAAGTAGAGTCCTTTAAGTTTCAAGTTGGTATTAATTAATAGTCCACATACTTAATTCTACTCTTTGATTCCAGGTTCTGTCCGGACCTGCAGCAAAACGACTCCACAAAAAGAAACACCTTCAGAGCAAAGATGAATATTGGGAAAGCTTACAGTGCTGCCAACATCAGCAATGGAACAGATCTAGCTATTGGCTTTGCCTCTTCCACAGTAGCTGTCCTTCTATTTGGGACAAACTTTGTGCCTGTCAAGAAATTTGATACTGGTGATGGTAAACTTGATTATATTCTTTTCTTTGGTTCTTTTTGCTTAAAAGAATAATATTTCACCAGCAAATTACTAGAGGCCATTATCACAGCCTTAATCCAGAGAGTATGTTTAATTTTGCCTGCTGTTGCTAGGGTATAAAGCAAAAATACTGCTTCAGGATGTGGCACATCTTGAGAAGGGCCTTTTCATAAGTTGTACACTTTGACAGTGATGTACATTTCATGAGAATTTCACCATGGAAGGTGAAATGTTCTTTGTTCTACCCTTGTGGGGGTTCTCAGATACATAAAGTGTTATTTATAAATGAGATAAACGTTATTTGACTTTGAAGCATTGCCTTTCAATTGTGCACCTAACATAAAAACAAAACCTGAAATTTTAGTAATCTTATTTGCTGACTTGTTCAGAGGAAATTTTCATGTTTATATGAAGCATAACCAATTATCAGATCTGTAAATGAATAAATTTGCCATTATGTTATTGTAATACCTGCATTGCAGGCTGGGCATAGCCTCTGCTCTATATGCCAAATATGACCCTAAGAAGACAAGCTTGGGCATAAAGTTAACTGGTCTGCCTAACTGACCCTTCAAGAATATACAGAGGTAGAAGAGATCTGTCACTGACCATCCTCAGTGTCTGAGATTACCAGAAAAGCTTGAGCTTTGAAAAAGTCTCATCCTGTGCAGTCCTCTGTGTTAGCAGCTACTGGAGTGGTGGGAGAAGTTTACAGCAACTGAATATCACCTTTGTCAGAAGTCCATCAAAGTTTTCATGTGTTTAAGAATTAGGGCTTGTGTAAACTTTGGCCAGCAAAGTGTCTTTTGCAATTCTGTAGGAAGAATTTGTGATAAGGAAAAGGTTAACCAAACTATAACCTACCCTAAAAGTACATCCCTTGAATAAATTATAACACGGTTCCCAGCATTCACAAAGGCAGTGGCCACCTTTTTGATCTTTATCTACTAGTGTATCAAAGATAAACATAAACTGTTAAGGTATTCACACATGCAGTATTCCACAAATTCCCTATTGTGTGCATTTGACTTTTCCACAGGCATGTTCTTCCAGTGGATTCTCTGTGCCTCCATATGGATAGTTTCTTTGGTGGTCAATTTGATCCAGAATTGCCCCCGCTTTTGGCCCCTGGCTATGGTTGGAGGTTTCGTGTGGGCTACAGGTGAGGATAAAGAGATTCCAATTCTTAAAACTTTTCCATATATAAGATATTAGTTATTTAATAGTTATTCAGGCAAATTTACACCAAAAATACCATTTAAAACTATACGGAGAAAAAGTCTATGTTCAGTGTATTTATTTTTGAAAACTGTTTCTTACTGCCTTGTAGCTTCCTAAATTTTTTTTTGCCTTCCAACCAAACACAGAACTCCAAGCAAACATATACAAGATCACATTCTATTTTTTACTGATTTTAGTTTTGGGTTTTGCATTTCAGGCAATGTTACAGTTGTCCCTATTGTTAAAACTATTGGCTTAGCTCTTGGTCTCTTGATATGGGCTTCTTTTAATTTGCTGACAGGCTGGGCAAGTTCAAGGTAAGTATGTTTTAAATCTTAAGTCATTAGTTAATTAATAACATTGTTCATGTTGCCAAGTCTTCATTGATAAGTGAAAACTCACCTGTAGAATCATAGTCATTCAGGTTGGAAAAGACCTTTAAGATCATCAACTCCAACCATTAATGTAGCACTGCCAAGTCTACCACTATCCTATATATTAAAACTTTCTCCTTCTTAGTGGAAAGCACTTAAGTTAACTGTTTTAGCTTTTTGTATTTCCTCTGTTTCAATAGAAAGAAGAATGCCCAGTGATGTGATTGAGTCAATAAATAATTTCTTAATGTAAAACTAGAACATATTTGTGTTTTTTTTTCTTTTGCAATCTGGTCTGATAAAATAACTTCAGTTCTTTAATATATATATTTTTAAAATGCATGTTAAATTAAAGATTGTTTTTGTAAAGTAGACATTGTTTTTTGCAAGCCAACTGAAGCACTGATCTAATACTGAAAATACTTACTTAGGCAGATTTATTTACATGAGTCAAGACTTCAAAGACTAGGTTATAATTTAGCTATTTGTATAGAGACCGTGCATCTAAGTGAAACTGGTTAAATGTTTCAGGTTTGGTTGGTTTGGAATTGACCCAGAGGAGGTATCAAGACCAATCTTAAATTATATTGGAGCTGGACTTTCACTTATAAGGTAGAAATTGATTCTTATAGTAAATATGTTATGTAAAATACATATTTAATAACCAACCACCAGGATGATTTAACAAGAGAACAAATATGTTGAATGATCTTTGGCAAATCCTTATGCTTCCAAATTTGGGAGCTAACCATACCTAGTTGGTCAGTGTTCATGTAGAAACAGACATGTTATCCAGTACAGGGGTGAAATGGTTATCCACAAATACAAAAATGTATTTGTATGCTGGTAGGCATGTTCAAGGCAAAGCAGTGTTACATGGATTGCCTTACTTCCTAGCTTATTCTAATGGTTGACTTCCCCAAATCCTGTCGGAGGACAGCCTGACTAAAAGAATCTTGTTGACAAAACTTCAGATTTCTGATCTCACTTCACTCAGTCAGGGGTACAAATTAATCTCATAACAATAGAATATGGCACAGAACCCCTTCCCTGGTACTTTGAGGTCCATGGAAGGCCAGAGGCTTTGCATGTTTTCCTGTCTGTAATAGCTCTGTGTCATGTAAGTCTTAATCCACACTTCCAAATCCCACACATTGTCTTCCTTCAGGATCTTTGGAAGGACTTTATTCTCTCTTTTTGCGTCTTTGCTCTTTGTATGAATGCATACCTTTTGGTCCAAACACAGAAGAAAGAGGATCTTTGTTATGTAGCAGTGTTCTTGCTTTCCAGCTGGGTGGCTGGGAAGATGGCCCTAAATCCTAAGGGCTTACTCTAAGCATGCTGGCAGAAGATTAACAGAATGCCTTTCAGAAAAGAAGGGCATTAAGAACATGGAAACAAGCCATTTCTGACTGGTAGGACAGAGCTTGTGCCTTATATTCATTATTTTGGGTTCCACTTTTCTTCTCTTATAAGAGTCTGCAGCTTTGTATCCATTGCTGTTACATGTGGCACATGATTTTGGGAGGCACTGAGAAAATAGCAGCAGCACTGCTATTCCTGCCTGATGGATTCATGCAGATCACCACCTGCTTCCTGTTTGAGATATCATGGAGGAGTGACCAGCAGGGAGAGGGATTGTGAGCAAGCGGACTGCACAAAGCCTGTGCATGTTGCTCTGTGGAGCTCAGGAACAGGCTTTCCATTTTAGCTTCCTGTGTGGAATCTGTATGTTTCCTCTGGAGGAAACTGACATCCTTGTATAACTATGCTTATTCCATCAGTAAGAAATGAATCCTTCTTCAAATGGAAATATTCTGTTTACAGCTAGGAGACAAAATACCTAGAGCATTAAAATGTTTTTTCATAAAAGTAAAGAACAGATCCTTGCAGTTCTGATTGCAGGTATTTACCTGGAGGCAGGGTTAAGAGTAGTAGTATTATCCTTTCTTCTCCATTTTATTCACTTAATGCACTGAGCAATATCCCTTTTCCTTCTGTATGCTCACAAGGCCATGTAGCAGCAGTAGCCTGTTCCTCACATATGATGGAAGACTAACCATTAGTATTTTTTCATGAACATAGAGGCAATTCTATGGAGGTTTAAGCTGTTCCATATAGAATTTTCAAGCATGTGTTCCATTTGTGTGGGGTTTGGTACAAAAGGGCACTGTTAGCTAATGCATCTGTTCTTAATATGGTTGTAACTACATACTGTTAAAAGATGATGTTTCAATCACATTGCATAAGAAGAAAGATCTATAAAGTGAACAAAAACTGATTTATTTACTTACTTTCACTTAGGTTATCTTTTAGCTAAGTTAAATTAATAACTTTAAATTTTTACATTTGCATATTTTATGTATATAGAATCATAGAAAGTTATGACTTTAAATCAATTGCATTTTTAAATATACTGCAGTGATTCAAGGATAATGATGAAAGCAAAGGAATATGCCTCAAAATTAAACTTCTGTCTCTGGACACTAAATGTTATGTCCTTATAACTGACATGGTATTTATTCGTGTATTTTTCTCTTCTGAGTGCTGTCATATTTCTTTTTATAAAAACTGAAGTCCAGAGTTCTTCAACTTCATTAGAAAGCACACCTTTACTGAGAGAAAGTGTAAGTACTCTACAGTTGTTATTTTACAGCAGTGAAAATACATAGCCATTTTAAAACAAAAAATATGTTTGTTAGTCCAGTTTGCTAAGATTTATGGTAGACTACATAAAACAACACAAGTATGTACTGATTGTATCTTAATCTGTGGATCTTGGACATCATTTTTGATATTAGAAAGAGAAAAGATATTCCCACTTGTTCTTTCTTCTTTGTCAGCTTTAGATGGCTTAGAAAGTCCTCCTTCATTACAATGGAGATTACATAGAAGAGTGTATTACTTTCTTATCTGAAAAGAGGAAGCAATTTCAATTAAACATTAGCTGCAAAGCTGTGAGGGTGCTTAGGTGGAAGGCCAGGTTTTTGCCGTGTTGCAGAGCCAGGAGGCTGCCAAGAGTTGCTGACTGTCATCATCAGCTGTGGCACAGGCTGGAGGGGTACCAGACTGGCTGTCACTCCCTAGGGAGCACAGAGTATGCAAGGAGAGCTGGAGAACCACAGGCTCCTCCTGCCATTGTACCTTCCTGCTGGAGCTCAGTGGCTGCCTGGACAGAGAGCCCTGAGAGTTTTCTAGCTGTGCTCAGTGCTCACTGGAGGTTCCACTCTACCAGACTGAATCACAGAAGACTCGTTTAAAAAATTGCACATTTTAAGAAATCAAACTAAACTAAGTTTGCATTGAAACTCTTGGCTTTTTGCAGTCTATAAATGTTTCTGAAGAGACCACTGAGGACTCATGGGTGAACAAACTTTCTCCAGCAAAAAGGAGACTCATGTAAGTTGCTCACAGTTCTTTTCCTGATGCATGGAAAGTAGCCAGAGAAAGCAGTTAAACACAGTGTAAGAGCAGAATTTGTGATTTCCTAGCAAAATCACACAATAAATGACAGGTTTTTGCATACAAGTGTCGTGTGCAAATCTATATATGAATAGTTCCACAGCTATTTAGATTATTCCATTGGCACTGTTGAGTGTGTCTAACCTTACCAATCAAGTATTAGGTACTACTATGAAAAATATCATTTGGCAAAGGAAATAACAGTATCAACTCAGTAATTTCAGAGCTGGGTTTTAGCACCTAGTTGATTAGCACTCTAGCATAGAAGAAGCCTGTGCTAATGACATGCTTCCAGGTGTGGTTTCCAAGTGAATACAACTGGAGAAGGCATGGCAGTACGGTAAGGAGACAGTAAAAGTGCTTCAAAGTGGAAGCAAGCTAACAAGAAGCCCTGTGTGGGGAGTGGAGACTGCCAAGAGTACAGCAATCTGGAGATGGAGAAGCAGACTGAAGAGTCAACGAACCTGGGAAATTAGAATATATAGATGATAACAAAGGTGAGGATGGGAGCATTTTAAACTGAATTTTTGTTTGTTGTCCCCTAGCTCTGCTTTTAGGAAACCCTGGTTATTTAGTTTCCTGTATCATTAATCTAGATTACTGGCTTTTGCAGCAGGCATCGTCTGTCTTGTTTGGCTACAAAGTAGGAGGAAACTATGTGAACCATTTCTCTACCAGAAAAGAAAAATGTGCTAAAATGTCTTATTTTTATGGCTAGCAATTTTTATATGATGCACAGTTTTTACGTGTGCTGCTGGGCTTACATGTGTTGTCTACTTCCTTAACTCATGCAAGGCTATTTTCTCCTATTTTTGCTCTTTTAAAGAGGCTGTAGCCTGGCTGTAGTGGCTGGAATACTCTATGGTTCCAGTTTTGTACCAGTACTTTACATCAAGGACCATGGAAGAAGAAATGAAACTCTATACGCAGGAGCAAGTCAGTTTGGTAAAGGCTTGTAGATCACTACTACTTCATTGCATCGTGTTCTCCTTTTTTTGAAGGCATAGGGTCAAGTTCTTGATATACCATGACAATTTATCCACTCTGCACTACTTTAGATGTTGTCATAATCATAGCCCTAGCACTCCCTTTTTCTCAGAGGTTAGTTACACCATAAAAAACACTGAGAAGCGGCCCAAAGGCTACCATACTTAACTTACAGGTATGTTTCTGAAGGCATTAAATACTATCATTCTCAAAGTACAGAGTTTGTATGAGTGGAGAATGAGGACACGAGCTTGCCAATTGCCAACAGCAATAAAGGAGGAAATTGATCATAAGAGATGAGGAGAGCAGACATGTAATAACATAAGTAATTAAAACCCTGTTGGTTTTTTAAATTGAAACCATTTAACATAAGCCTAATTGCCATTTTCAAACAACATTTCCCCAGAAACATTTTCCTTAAGGTTGAAGTTATCCTCTTATCAGGTAATGCCTGAAGCGCCTTAAGAGCAAAGTACTGCTGAGAACACATAATGTCACCATTGTTGTATACAAATTCTCTTGAATACTGCAATGTATGTATTCCCCAGCCAGGCAAAACAGATGTTGTCATTACCATAACTGCCTGTCCTGTTGAGAATTTATAGCTCCAAGGAGACAAGGATCACCTTGCTACATGCCTCTGCTTCACCATGTTGGAAATACTCTCTTAGCATGTACAAAATCCATAAAGAATTTATTGTTCGTGATTATAGTGATCAAAATTATGATACATCCTTCAAGATTAAAAAAGGGCAAAACTGAGCTATGTATAACTTACATAATCTGTGCAGTTGTCTTGCCCTTAAATGTACAGAACAAAACAAGGATATGGGAACATAATTACAACTTCTCTTGACCATTTACAGTTATATAAAATCCCCACCCCAGTTTTGTAGCCTCACCTGTGGATTTTCTCAAGATTAAATTAAGTTAATTCAGGAATATGTAATAGAGTTCTGAAAATAACAACTCATAAAAATGTTTAGAAGCCTGTAATAAGTCAACACAGCATTTAGTTCATGTTTAATAGGTGTCACTGATTGTATGCATCCACAGACTGGCAGCTGTGTTCAGCACAATGAGATTTGAATTTGAATTCTTAGGAGTAGCACCTTTATGCGTTTTTGTCTATATAAATGTTATTGGTGAGTATAATTTTGTTAAAATTGATAGCTGGTGTTTTTACTAACATTTTGTAATTTCTCTTTCAGATTTAGATTATGTTTTTGCACACTTCAGTGGAATATTTCTTACAAGTACCATCTACTTTTTGATCTACTGTGCAGTCAGGAAGAATAAACCTTATGTTTATCCCCAAGCCATATTGCCAGGTATGACTGTTTTTAAATCAGCATTTCATTTAAGCTACTTTTTTGGACCATTTTGCAGTGATTAGTTCAAGTTGTGTTCACCTTTCAAGTATCTTCATTTGACTTCTTGTCTCTTTTGAAAGAGCACTATTAGGTTACTTAATTAAGGGTAGGAGACAGTGATAACTTTTGTTCTAATCTGAGAAGAGAACAAAGTGACATTGCAGATTTTCGAAAGCTGATTGCCAGAGTGGAGAGCACATTGCCCAGAAAATAATAAACTTAAATTGATTTGCTACTTCAGTTGGAGTAGCTCATTTTTATCCTTCAAGCTTTGGTTTAGTTTGCCAGAGCCAGCTTGTTAAATTAATTAATGTACTAAGCTACTTCTCTACAATTGCTGTATTATGCTACAAGTATAAAACTTCCACAAACTGCTGCCCATACCTTGCTATGCATGTTTTTGATTGGGATTTATTTTTCTAGGGTTTGTTTCTGGTGTGCTTTGGGCAATAGCCAATTGCTGCTGGTTCCTGGCCAATCACTATCTCAGTGCTGTTGTCAGCTTTCCAATAATTACTGCAGTAAGTATATAAAAAATAAAATCTCTAACTAGAATTAAAAGTGAATGGGTTTTTTACCCTTCTGGTTTTGGAATTCAGTTGAAATTGATGGGTCTAGAGCATTGTTAGTCAAAATGATGCAGTGCCTACTCTGCTTGTCTGCACTAGTCTTTGGATTTTTAGGAGCGTGAATGATTGTGACAAGCACCATCTTGGTCAATGTCAAGCATAAGAAAAACCAGACTAATTGAGAGTGTGAGTCTTCAGGTTATGTAAAAGCAGAAGCTTTGTAAACAGAATTATATCAATATTAACTATTTAATTGAAGTGATTATAAGAAGAATTTCTTATGCTTTCATCCCAGGAAGTACATTTTGGTCTGGATGTTTTTGAATTTGTAACTTTTGTCCCCTAGTAGTCGTTTTGCTTGCTTAAGTAATTTTTTCTTTTTACAGTTCTTGAACAAACAGAATAGATTATGTACTAGTGAAAATAATGTCCTTATGCAAATGTGTGGAAAATAGTTTGGCCTGTTCTGTCTCTGTTTTATTCCTGTTTATGATGTACCTTTAAAGCATAAATTCCAATTACTAGGTAAAAGTAAACTTTGCATTTACATTCTTGACACTGCACTAGTTGGTAATACAAAGGTGGCAAATGAGTTAATAAATATTAAGGCCAAAGTTTTGCTTAACAGCTGTATTTTGGAAGCAAACTAATGAAAGAGCTTTAATAGGGATTGAGCTTTGCCTCAAGATGCAGTAAGTCAAAATATACTCCACAGTGTGCAATGAAAAAAAAAACCTTGGGATCATTCTAATTAGAAATTGAAGGATTAATGGGAAGCAGTTTTAGTAATTTACTTATCAGTATGCCTAAAGGACAAGGATGTAAAATCACAAAATGAAAAATAAAAGTAAGCACTGATGAGAAACTGCCTATCTGGACCACAGGTGCAGAACTGCTGCTTTACTTCACTCTGGAGAAAATTTTTAGAGAGGTATTCATCACATCCCTTTAACACTTTGTTCCATTTTTTAAAAGTGCATTCCTCTCACAGCGCACATTATCTATAGAGTGAAATAACCCCTCAAATAATAGCTGGCAAAGTCACTAGGAAACAGCACCCACACATATATTCAGCATGTGACACAGTTTGCTGCTTATATCTGTGTCTGTCAGCTGCATTGAGGATGAAGGGAGGAAGGTCACTGGCCAAACATCTGTCAAGTGTTTCTCAGAACAGCTCTAATGCAAAGCATTAACAGAGCCAGTTTTGCTTCATGTTCAGATATTTTCTCATCAGAGATCAAAATTCAGATCCTTTCTCCCTCAGGGGAAAAACTCTATTACCCAGAGTCCTGGAAGTTGCTGTTGTGTATCACTGTTTGCTGTTAGCCAGGAAACCTGGCTACAACAACATCACAGAAAATCAAGATTTTCCCTGACCTGTCTCCTTGGCTGGCTTTGTTCTTTGTCCAGATGCCAACTATACAGGAAATACATCTATGTTTCAGTCTCTTGATAACCCACTGAGAGATAAAATCAAACTTTGTCCGGTAGGTAGTCATGCTAATAAAGGAATTGTTAGGAAGCATTGTGGACTCTTAATTTGGATTAAAGTGAGGCATGTTATTTGGAGTCCACTGAAAGAACATGTAACAGCTGGAGCAGACTCTGCAGTGTAATGTAGAAAGAAGTTGTGCCTATTGAAAAAAAAGGCACCAAAAAAAGTTTTTGACGCTTTAGCCCTTCCTGAAGATTTTATTGTATCTTACTTAGTAAATGTTTCAGTGGTGTTTATGCTTTTGTCATGAGTGCTTTGTTTATACAGAATGGAAAGACTTAAATGTGTTATGCAGACAAAATTCAACCACCCTGACAGCAGTAATGAGACAGAGTAAATTGTAATGAAGTGCTGTAATGTACAAATTAATCTTATTCTTTAGGGTCCTGGCCTTGTTGCTGCAATGTGGGGAGTCCTTGTATTTAAGGAAATCAAGGTAATATAATTAGGTCTCTCACCTAATAACTCTTGCTTGCCTCTGTCCATAGAGACAGCATGACTTGATACACAGCTGTATCTCAGATTCCTGCTCCTTACAAGTATTGCATTATGAAACTGAAAGTGATATCTGCCATATTAAGTTTTCCAAGAAACCTGAAGAACTGTGGATAATTTTTACAGGAATGAGGATTTTAGTTCCATGGCTGTATGAGGAGCAGTGGATGTAAATGAAGACTGTAGCACAGTCAGGATGCCAGGCTCTGCCTGAAGACTGTTTTCATTTGAGCCAATTCTTTCAGTGGAGCAGGGGAATGAGCAGTTGTCCCAATAATGCATCAGCAAGTACATTACATTTTTAGGGTCAGGTTCAACAAAGGATGTAAAAATGCAGCAGGGTATTGTAATTACAATTATTATTACATTTTAATATTACATTATTATTATTTAAAATGTTATTGTTGTAATGACCTTTGTAATTACAGTGTAATGTAAAGATTCTAAATTGATGCAGCAGTGGTTGTGTACAACAAGCTCATTTACTGGATTTTGACATATAGGGCAGAAGTTAGTTTTCTAGTGGAATCTGAAGCACTGAATGATAGCAGTGTAACACCAGATTCTTTTTGCCAATCTATCCAGGGTCCGTAGGTACCTAACTTGGATCTAGAACTAAAAGTTCTGTCTCCCACTGCAGATTAGTGGTGTACTACTGTAGAAGGTCATAATGTTCATTACCCAAGTCTTTATAACTCTCTAAGCCTTTCATTCTTTTATATAATCTCTGCCTAATTGAAGCTTAGTACTTTGTTCTACTTTTTTTTTTCCAAGTGGTATCAATAATGACAAGATGATATTTTCCTTTTTCTCTTATTTTGCCTGTACAGGGACTGAAAAACTACATGCTACTGTCAGTATCGTTTTGCATCATTTTGGCTGGATCACTTTCCACAGCTTTTTCTAAAGTTTGAAAGGACCTTCTGGACCAGTAGATGGTGCTAGCGTTTAACACAAATAGAAAGACCATGTTGGTAGATCTTAGTACATAATAATTTTTAAAATGCATGTCCAACATTTACACTAACTTACTTCAGCCAAGTGGAAAATGAAAACATTTGGCATGAAAGAATCTGGAAATATTTGTTCCTGTTTTTCTTGGAATAGTAAGAAAATCAAAGGACTTTATTAATCAAAGCTAAATGATTTTATTGTTACTAATTTTTTTGGTTTTTCATTCAGGTGCTAAACTTCATGTCATCATAAATTTTGGATAAATTGTTGTGATAGTGGATAGTGATTTTAATGTTAGTTTATAATACTGTATGTGTTTGCAAGCTGATTTGTTTTATTAAAACATTTTTCTTACTGACTTAAATATAAGATACATCTTGAAATATTCCTTATGAAACTGATATCCATGAAAATAATAAAGCTTTTCTTTTATTTTGAAGCGTTATTCTTTAAACTCATGAGTGTACATGAAAATGTTATCTTCCAGTCACTTCAAGTTTGCGAAGAAGATTGAGTAAAAAGGGTGCTGCAAAATAAATTACTTTTGTTTTATGCTTTCCATAACCACTCTAACAGGAACAACTGTTTATTTTCTTACTTGTGGCAGCTAACCTTCATGTATGCAGAGCATGTTATTTGCATCTCCCCTTAGCCTTTTCTTCAATACATTAGACACCCCCAGCTCCTTCAGTCTTCTCTTGCCTGTAACTTGCTTGCAATTTCTATGTGTCTTTCCTGACAATAGAACAGTTTGGCTGGAAGGGACTTCAAAATCATCTAGGCCCAACCCCTCTGCTGAGGACAGGGATGCAATTCACTAGACCAGCTTGCTGAGGGCCCCAGACCTTGAACACTTCCAGATTTAAGACAGAAGCAGCTTCTCTGGACAGCCTATTCAAGTGTTTCACCACCACCTGAGTAAGGAATTTCATGCTGACATCTAATCTAAATCTAACCTCTTTCAGTGTAAAACCATTGCCCCTTGTCCTGTCACTGTCTGCCTATATAAAAAGTCCCTCTCCCTCCTTTTTGTACACCACCTTAAGCTTCTGAAAGGCTGCATTGAGGTTTCCCTGAAGCTTTTCTCCATGCTGATCTCTCACTAAGTGGACTGGGTCTGTGTAGAATACCAAAACATAGCAGTCAGGCTACATCCTGTAGCCAGAAGCTAGGAAGAGCAGCAGTAAGACTATGGGTGTTTTCCCCCATCCCATTTGCAAGCTCTGTTCATAGTTAGACATCACAAGTTTTTGCTATCATGACTTGATATTGTTAGCATGTTTAGATTGCAATCATAATTTCTCCTTTCTCCCTTCCACCTTTCTTTGTCTGCTCTGCAACAGATTTGATTTTATAACTGTTACTCAACCTGCTTTTTCCTGTCTTGTGTTGTTTATTCCTACCTAGGTGCCAGAACTTGGTGTCTGACAGTTTTTTCCCCCTTTAAGGCATTTCTCTAATGTTAAACTTGTTCTCCAACAAGGTGGCAGCATTTTTCAGCCAGATGTCATCTGCAAATTTAATAAATGTACTAATTGCTATAAATAATGAAAATGCTGCATGTTACTGGCCTTTACTTACATTTTGGTATCTAATACTTCTTTTTACTTTTCAGGGAACAATTGATTAACCTTTGAGTACAATTTTCCTGTCTTGCAGTGCTTTTGTTTAGACTGTGTTCTCAGAGCTTTTACATAACATCAGGTAGAAAAGTCATAGTACATGATGTTTTCTACTAATACCTGATATTGAACAGAAAACTGCTATTTTTTTTCTGTCCAGTACCTGGGTCAGGCACAATTTCTCCTTGACAGACATCGACTGTTACTTACCTAGCCATTATGCTATTGACTCAGACAAGGACAAGTATTCATTGTGGTTTTGAAAATAACTTGAATTAAACAGGACATTTATTAATTTCCTTGGTTCTGTTTAATTTCTTGAAGTTCACAGTCTTAAGGATTCTCTTCTTAAATATTCCAGGAATTTATTCCATGCCAGAAAGTTGCTGATCGACAAGGAATTGGAAAAATGAAAACACAATATCCTTAGGCTCCTCAGATTTACAGATAGGCTTTAGGCTAGAACTTTAAAACTAGACTTTAATATGTCAGTGAGGTGCATATACTTCACTGGTTTACATATAGTAAATTATGAATGCCTCAGTCCTCCTCCCTAGGAGGGGCAAGGCAGCAGCAGGACAAGCTGCCTTGGGCAAGCAGGTGACAGCAGCAGGGGCATGTGCCTGCCCTGCACAGCCCCTGTTTCGCCCCCAGACCCTCTCCCCCTTCTCCCCTCTTCCAGGGGGAAGCTGTGCTCTCAGTGAGCAGTGAACTCTGCAGGAAATGTCCCTCCTGCTTCAGGTGGGTGCTCTGGGCTGTTCCAGTGCCCCTGCATGGAGGATGGCCAGAGGGTGCTGGTTTTCCAGCCATGCTTCCAACAAGACTGTGCCTGCTCCACCTCAGGAGCAACACAGATGCAGGCATGCTATTGGAGTTTTGAAACTCAAGGGCTTTGTGGTGTCTAGAATTATGATCACTTTAGGTAATGAAATGTCACTTTTAGATGAAGAAAAGAAACTTGGATGCAGTATTCCACGCTGAACTGTACAGGAAATGTTACAAACTGTACATTCTGTTCATCATCTCCGTAACAACTATGACTTTAAAGGCTTGGGACATTATATTTACTACAGGAAAAAATCCCAACCAAACTAGTAATCAGGGGGGTTTTCTTCACAAATAGACAGAGACCTAGTTCAGCTATGGAGAAGATACGTGCTCCTGTGGCTGCTGCTATTTCCATGATGATGAGAGACAGAACTTCCACCCTTTCTGCTTTCCCCCATCCTCTATACATTTCCTGGGATAGATGATCTTACAGCCTCTGCTGTCTCTCTTGGGGGATGCTGTTAAATTAACTTGCAATACAGGCGCAGCATCCATCTACTGGATATGATTACAGGAAAAAGCTAAATCTTCCAGGGCAGGAGCACCTTTGCATTTCCTAGATTTTGTACAAGATCATTGATTTTTATGGGAGGGGGACACAAACAAACACAGAAAAAAAACAACCAAAAAAAACCACCTGAGCTCCTGTCCATAGCAATTGCCATGTAAATAAATGTTTGTAGTCTGATGCAGTTCTCCAGTCTATGTTGTAAAGCTATCAGATCTGCAGACTTAATTGCTGACTGCTAGGATGTTAATTAAAAATCTTCCTTATGACAGCTCAAGTATGACCTTTATTAAAATTTTTTTACAAGCTGTCCTATTAGATTTGACTTGTTGACTGCAAGAAAAAAATCCCACCACTTCCAGCACTTTTCTGTGAAAAGTCCCCTGTGGCATTCCAAAATAATTTTTGTGATGTTCACTTGGAATATGTTGTATAAATATTCCACTCATTTCTGAGATTTTTCTTGGTCTTGACATTTCCAGTTAGAAATAACACTGTTACTTCTTTCATGTGAGGATGCTGGATTAACAGCATGTTTACAGAGTTATTTGTACAAAATGGTCTGGAAGTAACTGAGTTTAGTAAGAGAAAAATCTACAGCTAATATAAATTGTCATGGTTCTGTTTATATCAACTTGTTTTTGTATAAATGGAAGAATCACATCTCTTGGAGAAAACTAAGCTTTCAAATATTTGTTTATGCCTGTTCAGCAACTTTTAAGAACATATTTGAGCTTGCTTTAAGAATTTTTCTCTGGTAATACTTAGAGGCAAAGTAGCCTTTAAAATATAGGTAAACTGGGAGTTTTTGAAGATTTTTGTGCAGTCTTGTGAACTGGGGAGCTCGGTGTCATCTTTTTTTAGATTTCTTTTACCTCTTTATTCCTTTTCCTATGTTAATTATCAATGGATAATTTGAGGCTCACTGCCCTTCCAGAGTTTTATTCCTTCATATTCTTAGTATTTAATAATTTAAATACAATTGCTCCTAAAACTGGTGCTTTTTTAATCCTAGATAAATTTTGTAGTTTCTTTGCATCATAATTTTCTTTTTCAACTGATATTCAAGGTTGATTAAATACTATTTCAACTGTCTGACCTGATCTTCAGTTTTCTTGCAGCTGGCCTAAAAATAAAATGAAAATTAAGATGATGCATGCTGGTAATTACTGGTTTTTTTCTTTCCATTTTGACCTTGTTTTCAAATATAAAACTGATGTTTAATGCCCTATTCCATAATTACTGAATTACTAATGGATTATACTTTCCTTTAGCTATATGTAATGCTGATAGATAGTGACTATGAGGTATATTATGTTAATTGCTGAAGTGCTGATTCTTACATTCTTCATGCTTACCATAAAATATTTTTAAAATCTTAAATATATTTAATTTTTAATGTAAATACCAAACAGTTCTTGTGTCTCTTGCTGCTCTGAAGGGCCTGTTTGAAAGTCTAACCTGAGAGAGGAAATAAAGGAAACAGGACCTGCATTAGTCCTGCTGCTATCAGTGGTCCAGGCAGTCCTTGGGCAAGTAACTTGGCATGTGCTCAGGTTTTGGTATTCATATAGGGACCAATTCACTGATACTGACATAAACCATACCTAGAGATACTAAAGTTATTACCCATGTCTTAGCATTTTTCATGTTGTGGATCTTCTAAAAACATTTCCTGCAGAACTGGGAAACAAACCACAAATCTTCCTGGGCCAAAGCAGGGAAGAGATGCAGAGGGAGAGGTTTTTCACCTTACTTAATAAAAGGAGAGAACTGATGGCTGTAATTTTTCTGTGCCCTTGCTTTGCTGCAGTGATGAAGCTGTCACAGCTGTCTGAGCTAGTCTCACTGAGCCTGTAGGCAAACCTCAAAGGATATTGTTCGTTGACACCGTTCAGGGATCACAATAAAAATGTTGCTGTTTGTGGATAGAGGCTGGGGAAGAGGAGCACTTGTTCAGGAGTTGCAGAGTGATAACTGCTCCCCACCTGTATTTGTACACCTGGGCTTTGATCCCAGCCAAGGAAGAGCCCTGGGAATACAAAGGCCACAGGCTCTTTGCAGGTCCATCTTAGGAGAAGGGCTGATCTATTCCTTAACTGGATGGCAATATTTCACATCAGGTGGTGCTCTGACTCTGTAGGTTATTTTCCAGTTGATTTTGTGTGCAATTGAAAGGTTGGAACTTGTTTAAAAGCATTTCATGGCTTGTGTTCCTTGAAGCATTCTGTGCTTGTCAAGTTCAAAGGAAATGGTTTAGACTGTTGGCTTGTCTTACTTCCAGATGTACTTGCAGTGAGCATGCATGACCTCATCATCAATTTCTGCTTCAGATGTTTGTGTCTAGCATTTTCAAGTGAAGTAGTTGAAATTTAGTGCATAAATCCAAAAACTAGCATTTCTATCTAACTAAAGTTCTATGTGAATAAAAAATAGCCTTGTTTGGATGTTTCTAGAAGTTGGCAGCATAACACATTACATTATGTGAACAACGAGATATTTATTACAAATAGGTTAAGCACTTGCAGCTTGTGAGTTGTAGCATCCATTTTGTTTCCTTGACTTTCAAGAGGTAGTCACCACATTCTGCTTATACTCTTCTAACTTTGCAGACATTGAAGTAAAATGCTAGTCCTTTTTTCTTCCTTGGTTACATTGATTATAGTTTAGATAGATTCTTTTTCCTAACTTAGTGGGCAACAGTCGATTCAATGAAGCAATAGTGAATTTCACAGAAATGGGGAAAAGCTGAACTATGTAGACATGTTCCTGTAAAGGCTTGGTGATATCATGCCATGCTATTCTTTAGCTGATCACACCTTTCATACTTTTATTTGATAGTTGTCATGTCCCCAGCATTTCCTTTTTTTACAGGAATAAAATTATTGTTCCTGAATTATTGTGATAATTCAATTAGACTGATCCAATCAATAGACTTCTGCTATTGAATCTGGATTTCACTCATTGTTCTCTTTATGTGGGTCAAGCTGATTAAAGATTATGCTACTACCCAGCTGTTTGCTACTAACAGACACCTTGCAGGGAAACCAATGGATAGGATTGTGAGGAAGGTTGTGAACTTCCTGGCAAAAAAACAGCTACATTAACTTTCTTCACTGTGACAAGGTCACCCGAGGAAATTCTGGGGGTGCGGAATAGCACTTTAACCTAGCATATTAAGAGCATGTCCCTGCTACTTTGCATCTGATCATTGGGACAGAAATGCTCTTTCCTAAAACCTTTTGTTTTCCCCTTTGTTTTACTTCAGTGAGAAGATTCAGCTTAATTTTTTTTTTTTTACCTGAAGCTAAGAACTTTTCAAACATCTGTAAATTTACTGTGCCCTGCGAGGCTTGCAAATTTGTTTGCTGCTTATCCTATTTGGTATCATTTCCATGCCTTACAGATAACATCTGGATTTTACTAGAAATTCAGAATCCTGGCTGCCCTAAACACAGTTTTTAATATGATGTTATTGATTAGCTATGCCTTACACATTGCATCTTAAATATTGTCTGCTGTTGATGGCTGGGACTGTTTAAGGATGAGATGTGCCAAGTTTCATAGTCCCTTTCAGTTTTAGGTCTTCAAAAAGTGTCATTTTGATAACTGCAACTAAAAATGCAAGAAAGTATCTTCTTTCCTGGGCCTCCATGAAATATGCCCTGACCAATATTTGGAGATCTCTCGCATTTGTTTCATGAGGAAGATCCAAAAGAGCAGGGTTAGACTCCAGCACATGGATTTCTGAGTGGCTAGAAGGCACAAAGAGCTGCCATGCAATAAAACTGCTTCTGAAAATTTAAAAGAATAAAGTACCTCAGCAAAACTGTTCCACTCTGTTTTACATGTTTGTTATGTCTATGTATCTGTTGCTAGAAATGTTAGCTTTCACATTAATGGCAACTTGCTGATGGAATATCGCATTTTAGGGCTACCATCAAAACATTTCAAAGAACATCACCATTTCAAATGACCAAGTTATTTATATATGCAAATACATAAGCTGTAAATATCAATATATGTGTGTAGACATGTAGAGATGCACTCTAAATCAGGTCCTTTTAGTTAAAGAAAGATCTGGGAGTTTTTGCAACTAGCTACCTGAGAATGTCAATTCAGTGACATTCACAGGTTAACAGCAGTTGAAAAATGCTAGCATGTTTGAAATTTTTAAACAGTAAGTGGGGAAATATCATTATGCCAGTGTGTAGTTTCAATTCACTGATCACTGAAATACATGTTTAGTGGATTTTTAAAAGTCAGGCAGAAACAATAGATTTTCCCTTTTACAGAATAATTCCTACTTTAAGTAGCACAAGACCCAGCCTGAATGTGATAACATTATCAAAATGTGATAACAACATGTCCATACATTGACAAGAAGAAACATGTTAATAGGGATTGATTGGTCACTGTGGGTTATGCAGGAAAAACTGAACACAATAAAGTTATTAGAAATGAGTTTTGAAAGACAACTGTGACTTTTTCAAAGAAATCATAATCAGTGTTTTAAAACTTATTCTCAGAAGATTTAGTACCTATTAGTATTAAAAATGGGTTCTGAGGCAATTAGTGAAAGATAAGGCCATTTCTGACTATCAGTCACTACTGCTGATCTGAATGGAACCTCTGGCTCAAGCCTTTAAGCCACTTGATTTCCAGAAAGAGCTATTTCATGAGAGAAAGCTTTTGGTTCCAGACATAATCATTCAAAGTCCAATATTTGCAGAATTCTACATATAGAGAACATACAATATAATTTCATTAAAATGGTGATATAAATTCCATGGCAAGGTTAAGCAGATAGGCACCTTTTAAGTGTAATTTTTCAACAACTCTCATTATTGGGATATTCCCAAACACTGCAAATGTTTTGGGTAATACTGACATCCAATGTTTAAATTAGGACCTAAACTTTATAATTTAAAATCTGTTTATGTTGACCAAGACCATTAGATTAAAATGCACAACTTCAATAAAAACTTTGAAATATTCCTTCTAATGCAGAACTTTGCACAAAGCAGAGGCTGTTTCTGGCAGGTATCATTCACACTAGCAGCTCTGTGAAAGGTTACACTGTTAGTTTGGTTTCTATCTGCTGTGGCTTCTGTCCTTTGCTCACTGCCCAGCAAAGAAATTTCTCCATGGAATCAACATGTGATCATTGGTACAGGTGGGGACTACTTTTGATTAGGGTGATTGTATTTTTTCTTCAACTTCTGTCCAAATTTGTCACCATGGTTTGTGCTAATTGTGATGACAAGCACAAGGAAGTCAAAAGGCAAAACTCCAGAAGATAGTAAAACAGAAAATGTTAAAGAGAGATAATTGAGAAAAGCAGAAGGAGCAAGCTAGTAGAAATTAATGTGATGAGAAATATAAGCAGAACATTGATGTAGGACTTCCACTAGAAGGACAATGAGCTTTTAATTAAGATGTGGCAGACAGGCAGAAATTCAAGAAGTACAGATGACAGATCAAACCATGATGAAGCTGATTGTCTTTCCACTGCAGTAATAAAATTAAGAAGCAATGAAGTTACAATAACAATTTCTGATTATCTGAATTAAAGGGACTTTCAACAACTCTGACATATTGAACTGATTATGCTTCTAATTTAGGGACTGTGGTATGTTTTAGCATAACTTTGCTCAGATAAAAACTTGGAATCTCTCTTCCAGCCTTACACAGTGAAATAAAGGAGGCTAAAAAGAGCAGTCTTTGTACAATTTTATCAGGGAATGCTTTCAGTATTTCTCCCCAACCATTGCAATGTGTCAGCAGCATAACTTATTTTCCTAGTTACTTGAGTAATAATTCCATTATTTCTCTGTGTGTTTGTTCTCAAAATAAACATGACTTGGCAAAAGTTTCCATTGTGTCTTCATTTTGAAGCCTATAGGCAGTAAAGCTGGCTAATAATATTTGAACCTATTAGAGAAAGGACATAATAGAAATGAAAAATAGTGGTTTAGTCCTCTTGTGGCTTCTTAAATGACTATTAGAAGCAAATTCATTTAGAAAAAGTGTCCTTGTATGTAACTAAAAATATGAATCCATAATTAGGTCATATTTCTGTCAGTTTCATAAGGGGAATAAGTGCTCTAGTACCAGGAAAATAATCTTTCAATTTAAAGTATAGTTCTTAACAAATAGTCTTGAACTGAGCATCATGCTGTCATTTTATTGATAAGACAGTGTCTCAGTTCTCCTAATCTGACCATTCTAAAAAAAATAGCTTCAGGGAGGAAAATATTTCTGCTTGTTTTGTGATGTAAACTCAGCTGGTTTTCATATCTTTTTAAATATTTAAGCCTAGGCCCAGAGCCACTGCCTGGAAACAGGAAGTATGCATCTGTATGCCATATTGATGCCAGTTTGAAGGGATTATTTTATTTTCCATTATCTTGTCTTCCACTTTAAAATGAGATTTGAGAGCATGTCCTTCAGCTGGAGAAGTTTCACAAGAGGCTCTGGATGAGCTGTGTAACGAGCTCAGCAGTGGGTGAAATTGCAGCTGTCCAATGGTGAGCCCACAGAGCCTTTAATAAGGGTAGCTAAGATGTGCCAGCCTTGACAGGAGAGTGAGTCAGGTGGACAAAATGTGTGTGCCCAACCTGTTCCTTGTGAAATGAAGTGCAAAGGGAAGAAAAATAATTTCTTAAGAAAGGAAATTCTCAAACATGTCTTCACTGGCAAGAAGCAAGGGCAAGATAATTTTAAGGAGTAACAATCTGCTTTGGTCATGAAGTGATAAAAAATATCTCTTAGTAGCCAGGATGCTTTGAACATTTCAGTAAAATGTTCTTATTTTGGCCATACTGGTGCCTGTAAACATGAGCAGCTGCAGGGCAGACAGGGTGGGTGACCTGTCTCTCTCTGTAACCAAACCCTTATGCAGCAATGAGGGTACAGAAGAGAGTAAAGAAAATCTGAGCTACTCCTAGAATCACTGCCTTTTTCTGGGATAAATATTAAAGAGATTTTTTTTTTTTTTATCGTATTGCAGCAGGTATCAGAATAAACCAGTTTTTCCCTTTTAAACATAGATAGGAAAAAACCTATTGATTACATAGCAATATCATCGTCATTGCCTTTTTATACTCCCCTAATTCGTCTATACTTCTACATTTTGCAAGATCAAGTAAATGTGATTATCTCCTGCAACACTTACTCTATATTTTTTAGTATAAAAATTTTCCTATCAATTTCAAATACTGAAGATTCAGAGAAATTGTCATCACCTGAGGTGAACTGTCAAATTGTTTAATAAGAATGATTCAAAACATCAGCATGGGTTTTTCTGGTTTGGTATTTTTTTGCATTTTTTTGCATTTCCCATTTTTATTTATCTATGGAAAATCTTTTTATGTAATAAGATCTGAGAAAACATATAGATGTTTATGTACACTTGAAGCATAAATATGCATATATAAAGAAGACAAACTTATTTTGCTACATTAAAATTCACAGCAGTGAAAATATACATAGCAGCATTACAAATCCAGGACTGTCAGTTGTCTTGAGCAGAGATTTCTAATGCAATCTTCTCAAAAATAAAAGCAAAATCAAAGATGTTTTATGGCAAACAGCCATTGCAGATTGACATTCCACGTTGCCTTATCACACTGAGGAAGAAAAATTATTCTGGCTTTGCCAGTGAGATAGAAAACCACACTGAAGAAGTTATGCTTGAACTGTTCAGTACTAGGAAGAGAAAAACTTTGTATGTAGGAATGCATTTTTAAAATACTTCTGCATAAGAGTTTTGTGTACCCCACCAGACCTGTTTAATCTTAACTTTCTCCTCTTCAGCAGTGTGATCAATGAGGAAGTCAAACAAATAGAGAAAGGAGTGTTGCTCATGGATGGTTTTACTTTTCAGTCAGATTGAATCAAGGCATCCCTGCCCTGTAATGGGTTCATGACATCTGAAAAATATTGGGAAAGAAATACAAACATGCTATGAAACTTCAATTTGAAAACAGTAATAAGGGTTTGGGTTGGGGGTTTTTTGCATTTGATATCATGGGGAGGTGGGGGTGTGTATATGAATAAATATACATTTATTGTTTATACTCTTCTAACCCATAAAGAAATCTCCAATTTAAGTTACTTATGTATCATTTTCTTTTTTTTTTTTTTTTTTAATACAAGAATATCTCCTTACAGCAAAGAATCGAAATGAAGGAAGAAGTAGGGAGGAAACTCACGTGCTACAAAGATTTTGTAAAATACCTAAAATACCTAAACTTCAATGCAAATATAGAGAGTTGTTTTCATTATATCTCCAAAATAACCAGTTTATTGAGATAAAAAATTTTTGTGCTTAACTTATTCCAAAATACTGCTGCAACTAGGAAAGTGTCATGGTGATAGGAGAAAAAATGTTACTGTAGCACAGAGGATTCAAATATTATTCTTACATCAAAGCATAACAGAGGCTGTAGATGAGTACAATATTTCCATATTTATAAATAATATGTATTTGTTATTTTAGGTATGTAGGACTCCCACCACTGGCTGCTTCTGCTTCTTGGAGGTTTTTCCTGAAGGAGAACTGGTTCACAGCATTGCAAAAGGGTCAAGTGTCAGAACACACAGGAATAGGTCTGATATTATGAAAGCTGAGCAATATACCATGATGTACTTCAGGTAAATCTTGACAAGACTTAGTGGGGAAAAAAGAACTCTGAAGAACTGTTAATTGCTATTCACCTTGGAGTCTAGGACATCCACAGTGCTGTCTTGGTAAGGTGTTTATCCCTTCTGCCTGGACAGAACTGAGAGTGTATCTTAAGATTTTGACTGATTTTCCTTCTAGGAAACACAAGGGGAAGAAGAAGGAAAGAAAAGGGGAAAAACCCACCTTCCTAAATTTTTTAGACAGAATATATTCCAAATGAATAGAAAAAATTATTGTTGTTGCTGCTATTGGCTAAGAAACTGAAACAAATGAAAGCTAACACACGTAAGAGAACACTGTTTACCTTTTTTTTTTTTTAGAAAAGAGAGGCACCTGCAAAAGAAAAGGCATTCCCAGGTAAAATATGAGCTAAAATTCAAATGCCATCAGAAGAAAGATGTCTAACTATCAAGTTTTAATGTGCCCTTTCTCACCCAAAAACATCTCAAAAAATGTATACTTTAAGGTGCTGGCTCTTGCTTCTTAACTTTTTGAAGTCACAGACTCCCAGGTGTGTTCCTCTGCAGGATTTTCCAGTTCAATAGCTTTTAAATTGTTTAGTTCCATATAAAACATGAATTTTAAATATGTGTAAATTAAAAGTGCTCTTACAGTGAAAAACATTGACTTCAGCAGATTCTCATGAATGGAACATGAGCAATTATCAGAACAACAGCATTCTTGCTGAGAGTTTGCCTTAAACATCCCTATTGCTGATTTATTCTCCTCCATTCATCTTCGCCCAAAGTTCACTTATCTCATGAGCTAATCTTTTTGTTTGCTTGGTTTTGTTTCCAGGCATGGAGTTTGGATTAAGATAATTTAAGAAGATGTAGGCATTTAGGAGGACAAAAAAATTGCACTGGAGAATTGTGTGGGGTTTATTTGACTTAGGTGCAAATAGGGTTTTTAAAACACAGTGTTGTTTGTTGAGCTTCTACCTAATTGTTTGATAGGAAAGCATTGAAAAACCATCTGCTGAGGAAACAGCATTTTAAAGATGAAAGCTCATAAAGCAAGTCTAAACAAAGAGGTAAATGTGTGAAATAAGCCTTCTTATATGATTCAAGAGAAAGGAGACATTTCCTGGGGAAATTTAAAATGTTGCAGGCTCAGAGGCCAAAGCAATTTGGGATGCAATTTTTGAGAAGTGACTTTCCTCTCCTCTCATGGTTTAAATCAATTCAATGAAGGGATATAAAATGAATGGTCATAGTGTCTTTCAAAGACTTCAAAAAAATCATCCTGTTAGGTGGCGCTCTTTTAGATTCTATTTTACCTCTGGCCCTACCTCAGTTTCTCACTTGCACAGTACATCAAGTTCCATTTTTAGACTATCATAGAAGACATATATAAACACTCAAAATTTAAAAGTTTCTTATTGCCTTATACTTTTCAGATGTTTCTTACATGAAAAGTTCCTTTATTGCAAAATATATAAATACTTGTGTCTTTATGGTAAGAGAATAAAGATCAATATCCCTAATATTATTTGCTTAGAATAATTTATCTAATGATTATTACAAAGAAAAGTACATTATATGTCTCACTCTTTTCTTTTTAAAGGAATGATTGAATTTTTGACTGTGGTATAGAATAGCTATGCTATAAGGCTTGAAAAAAAGTATAGAATTACATATATAAAGATTCTAAATTTCTGCACATCAGGGACAAGTCCTCTAAGAATCAGACTTCTTATCTAATCCCTCTCTTATTTAATTAATAAAATCAAATCAGTAAATCTAAACAACAACTTCAAAATTCAGGTCTAGGAGTACAACTCTATGTATTAGCAAATAATGATAAAAGTGGTAACATTCAAGTAAAAGAAAAGGAAGGACAACTTAGTGATGTTGAATTCACCTTTAAAAGGATCTTTTCTCTGTTGATGGCTGAGCATCATGTCCTTAAACATGTCAATGAGGGCTCACTGAGGAATATTCAGTGATTTTGCTGTCACTGAAACTACCAATACAAAGTAAATAAGACATCATCTTCAATATAAAACAACAACTAATTAAAGATTTGCTCTTGGCGCACATTTTAGTCTTATTCAAGATCTAATATAATATTTTTAATTTTACCACCCAGCACCCCTCTAAACTAAACAGTCTCAACTCCTCTGAGGTAAATAGAATTCACAATAGAACTCTAATATTTTTATATTAATGCAAATCTACCTTACC